TGGTATGGTTGGGTCGTATTCTCTCCCTGGACTAGGCCCATGCCCTTGGCCGCTGGGATTACTGCGTCTGCTGGTGAGGGTCCTCTGAGCTTCCCTGAGATGGCTGTGGCTGAGTCAGATATAAGATTTGAAGGCGTCGGGAGACTACTTTCCTAGTGTTTGTATGTGTTGTTACGATAGCCCTTGTGTGCTGCTGTGGTGGTGGCTCCAATTCTGAATGAGTGACTGGATTATGAATCTGGTGGGAAGCCTGAATGGTCCTATGACTTTAAGGTGTTATGAAACCAAAAATGTTATTGAACGGAATGTGTGGATGTGTTGCGCAGTGAGAAACTGATGAGGTGTTCCGGGGTAACTTAAAATGTATAAATGAATGCTGACGCAAATTGTGTATGCTGTGGTTATGGGATTATCATCTTAAAAGGAGAGATGGAGTCAGCTGCGGCTCTGCTTCTGATACCAGTTTCTGAAAATAAAGCAAAAGAGAGTCAGCGATTTCCTATGCAACTAGGAACATGTACAGCAGTATTTTTTTTTTTTTTTTTTTTTTCAGAATGTATTGACTATATTGCCCGTTAGAAGCGCATTGGCGGCCCCGATAATATACCCCACGAAGGGGGCAGCATCTGTGTAAAAAGGATATACTGAGGATGAAATTGGATAGCTAATAAATGAATGGCTTCTATTCCAGCGCTTACGGAAGGAAGCATAAGCAGGTCGCATGCTTTAAGCGCTACCTGATGGTTACGAACCTTTATGAATTTCATTTCTGTTAAACCAGGAGTCACCAAATATGGTACCGATGGGCACCAGATAGCTCACGAGGCTCTCGTGTGTTGCTCACAGGCCTGTTCTAAAATAGCTCACCATAACACCACTTACAAGTAAGCTTTCTCTAATATAGAAGTAATCATTTAAAAATGTAAATATTTGCAAAGATAAATAAAATAGTGTTGCACATATTGATATATTAATTACGGGGTATTTCCTACCCTGTTAAATCATTGCTGGTAACTTTGAGAGAATCATAACATGATCAGTGACTACACCTGGATGAATATTATTAATTATTACCAAAAACTTAAATTATAATTATAAGTAAATTGAGCAATTTGTTATTTGAGAAGTGTTTATCCAACTGGTAGCCCTCCACGTTAATCGGTGCCCGAAAGTAGCTCTTAGTTTCAGAGGTTGGTGACTCCCGTGTTAAACGCTAAAGACAACATTTTGAAGAAAGCTGAAAACCTGTAACCATTGACTTTCACAGGAAGGAAATAAATAATAAGGAAGTCAATGCGGCTGTCCGTAGTGCCCAGCCACAATTCATGACACTTCGTATTCTGCCGCGCCGCGGAGCGCTATTTGTATAATTGATTAGTTTATTTGATAAAGTATGAATGCGTGAGTCTGGTGTGCATTAATCTACTATTCTCTGTCGTAAGTGCGTCGCGTCACCGCGCCGTCGGCGCCTCTGGTGCGCGACGCCCTTCAGGCAGAGTTTGTTACGGCCAAGATCGGATTTAGATCATTTCTCTTCTATTCCGGAGATTGCTGCTGCGAGATGAAATAGGTGAGTGACGAAAAGGCATCCCAGCGGGATAATGCGCATGTGTGTTTGATGTTCTAGATGGAGAGCAGTTTATGCTTAGCGTGATATTTTTCTTCCAGAATATAAAAGGGGACTGATTGTCGATTTATTCAAGTAGCTTATTAATGCTTGAAATTCTATCACTCCAAATTGATGCTTAAGAATTCTATAGAAGTGCTTAAGCCGGAGGTTCTTCCGCAATGAGAATGCAAATATTAGAAAACCGGTCACTAGTTTAGCTGGGGGATATTAGGGAGAGAGAAACGGGAACTTGTAGGTGAATTACGTGCAAACACCGTAGTTATTGGCGAAATCCAGCGGATCGTTTTTAAGCATAAATGTGTGGGCTGCTTTTGCATCCGAATGTTAAACGGACTACGAAATGTAATTGTGACCTCCGATTGCCAGAAATCGGGTGGCGGGTGTAATGTTGATTGCAACCGAGCGCTGCAGCCGTCTAGATTAGAGAGATTGCTTGGTTTATAACGTGATAATTTAAGCATATTCATCAGGTAGAATCATGCTGTTAAAGCTGAAAAGGCAGAATTATGAGGAGATGAAAGAGCCGTTATTAGACGTTTTTAGAAACGTTCTAATGTCCATTTCAGTAGGGCTGGTATGGATGTGCTTAACAGGGAATTGCTCTGTGATTTCTGGTGTAGTGTTGGTGTACGGCTAGTGAGGTTGTGGGAAGGGAGCGCCGAGATCGGCTGTGCTTCAGTAGACGAAACCTGGAATGAGAAATTCAGAAAATTAGGTCAGTTACAAACGTAATTCAGTAAAAGCATAAACATATTGACAAAAGTCGACAAGTAATTTCTATTTTATAATAGAAAATAATCAGCAGTAGCTGCGAGCTTGTAAAAATGAGAGGGGGAAAAAGCAATGATACGCAAGGTAGAGGGGCGGGGTGCGTAGGTGGTAAGGATCGCTGAAAGAGGAGGACTGGAGTGTGCACTGGAATCGGGAGCTGCAGGATGGAAGAGGTGAGGTGGGATTCCCAAGAGTTGCTTTATTGTCCGGGAGATAGGTTTTATCCGTGTTTAGAATTATGATTGCTGCAATATGTCCAAATCCAATATTGCTTTTTAATCCTTTCCTTGATTCTCCGGGGAGGCGGAGAGGTTGCGGGTTTAATGTCTGTTTAGGATAGGGGGTGTGGCAGGAGCGTGTTATGTCCTGGGGGTGGCGGTGAAGACGTGGATTCGCAAGTGTTTTGGGTTTAATGCAGCGGCTTTGAATTATGGTCCCGGCGTCTAGGAGTTTGGAGGAGTTCAGTGACAGTCGTTGTTGGATATGAGTGACACATGATGATGCTGGAGAAGGTACGTAGCGGAGCTGGGGATTGCATTGTGATCTGGCTGGAGTGGATAGGCCTACGGCCTCTCGTTGGAGCCTCGGTCTCGAGCTGACTTTCATGCTGGACTGGTTGTTGTTAAGACGGGGCTGGTGTTTCAGGGAGCCCGGAGCTTTCTTTCTTGTATGTAGCTGCGCTGATGCTGTTGTGATCTCAGCCGCCGTCGCTGTTGTTGTTGTTTTTGTCATTTTTTGTAGTTGCTGACGATGGTATTAAAGGTGGTGTGGTATTGTAGTTGAAGAATAGTAGGAGATGTGGAGGATCCGTTTTGTCCGTGAGTAACTTTTGGAGGAGCTAGAGCGGACCTGTCGTTTGTTTCTTCGGAAAACGAAGATAAGGGAGTAATGTCTAGCTAGGCTACTTATAGTGGGTTAGGATAGATCTGATTGGCTAACTAATGAGTGTAGATAGGTGGCCAGCTGCTGTCAATTATATCACGTGCTCCTCTCGAAATTAGTTTAAAAACTTCACTTAGCGAATAATTTCCAGCATGAACATCAAAAAAGTCATGATTATGTTTAAACAGGTCATGTGAAGATAAAACTTTCTGGAAAAACCAGTGGACCACATTTTAAAACATCTGAAATTTTTTAGCAAAAGTCTGTCATCAAAGTGGTTTGGTTTTATTTTCTCCTAGAACTGTTTTGAGCGTCTCACACCTTCAAAAGCCACCATTGAATTTCAGCTTTGTCTTCTGAGACTCAAGTAATATATTATATATAAGACTAATTATTAAATAATTACATGAGAAGTGGCTTCTTATACTTTAACAATTGCAAATTTTTATTTTGTTATTTGGAGCCAGTTGATCAGGAAGTGACAATTTTATTCTTGTTAACTCATTGGATAGAAACCTGGCTTTATTCTCAAATGTTTTTATGCATTATTCCAGTTTTGGTCTTTAGATGGAAACATAGCTCGTATTGTAAGGTGTAGTTATTATATTCATTCATTTTCTTGTCGGCTTAGTCCCTTTATTAATCCAGGGTCGCCACAGCGGAATGAACCGCCAACTTATCCAGCAAGTTTTTACGCAGAGGATGCCCTTCCAGCCGCAACCCATCTCTGGGAAAAATCCACACATACTCTCATACACTACGAACAATTTAGCCTACCTGTACCGCATGTCTTTGGGCTGTAAGGGAAACCATAGCAACCGGAGGAAACCCACGCGAAGGCAGGGAAAACATGCAAACTCCACACAGAAATGCCAACTGAGCCAGGGTTCGAACCAGCGACCTTCTTGCTGTGAGGCAACAGCACTACCTACTGCGCCACTGCCTCGCTAGTTATTATACTATGAATAGAATAATTGACTGTGTCATTGAGAACTTGTGAAATAATCCACACCTCAGGTGATGAATTTGTGCATTATGTAATTATTTAATGGTCTGCTGTCCATAATTATCTCCTCAGCTATTTCTTATTACCATGTATTTTTATATCTGTAGTATTTCCTTAACTGCTTTTAAAATATTCTTGGATAAAGCATGTAAACACAGGCACGCTAGAGAAATTTGTCCTTGTCCTACATCTGTGCTTTTTCTCTCCAAAAGGCTTCAAGACTGAACACATCTTTGTTTAAATGACAGTTTCTGCTACCTTTTAATCACTTTCAGTGATGCATAGGCATGGGACGATAACTGTTTTTAAGGTATATCATGGTTTAAAAAGTCAAGGTTTTAAAACCGGCAAACTTTTCTGTAATACCGTACCTAACGTATGTGTAAGATTTTTTATTTACATTTTTTTGTTGTTTTTTAGGACAGCAGTATCTCCAGCAAAAAACATATCCAAAGATACCGCTTTAAATTGTAAAGAAATCAGTGCTTTTGAAACTAATGAAGACAGCTGAAATCTATGATTCATTTGAATTATTTAGCCATGTTTACTGCTCTAAAATATTTAAATGTTTCAAAAAATAAAATGTACTGTTTTCAAGAGGGAAATAAGTTTTCGTTTTTAACTCAGACATTTAAAAAGAATATATTTTAGAGCAGTAATCACAATACCGTGATATTTTTGTCCAAGGTTATCATACCGCCAGAATCTATGTGTTTTTGCAATAATGTTTTTTTTTATTGAAGAAATGCTTGCGAAACAGTGGCCCCTTTTAGTGTCGAGATCTTGTGGACAAACCAAGTAGCACAGAAAAAATGAAAAGTGCATGTGACAGTAATAATTTTGTAGCAATTACAATAAAACACAACTTGTCCCTTTTTTAGATGTTCAGCTACATCTTATTTAATCATATTTGGCAGTACAGTATGTCATATTTCAGTTTTGAATAGTTGGCCAAAGGTTTTAGCCTAAGAAATTGGTCCTAGTGGTCTAAAAAAACAAACCGTAATGCACATTGAAAAATGAGTATGATATTTGTGTAAACGAATATTGGTTCAAAAAATAACAATATGCACTGAAAACAAAATAAAATTAGTCTGATCTAGAGCGTAATTGGAATCAATTTAAAAAGCAGACTGTTGCCTAGACACACACTTAGGACATACAGGTTGTGATCTCTGTGTCTATAAAACCGATTGTACTTTTGATTTTTTTTACATTATCATTATTATTTTGCTAAAAATCAGCTTCTTATCCTGCAAACAAAACGCAGCCAGAAAGAATGTGTTTGTTCTCATGTTAAACTGAAACACATTCATACTTTATTAGAAAAAAAAGATATCATCCTCTCAGTGTGTTAGAAGAATATGTTTAGCACCGTTACCATTCACTCATGAACATTCTGTTATCTAGTCAAATGAAATGTAGATCTGTCATTTGTAGGGTCTTGAACTCAAAGCGAAGATTTGGATTGTGACTGGAAGCGTTGAATTCGGAAAGGTGAGAGGTCATGTGAGGGAACCTGCCCCATGGCCAGCTGAGAGAGCACCTTTCCAATGATGGGGCTAAACTTGAAGCCGTGGCCTGCAGAGTGTGAGAGAGAAAAAACACATTTACTGGTAGGTGAATCATCACAGTTTACATTCATTCAGTCCACTGGGATAAAGAAGAGCAGCTCATGGGAATGTACAACAGCCCTCTATAAATAGCCTTTATCTGTCGTCCACTGTCTGACTCAGAAAGCCTTTGAATGAAATAGTGTGAAGAGAAGAAAAAACCCAAATCATGCTGGCACCATCACACCTGCTGTCACAGAATATTTATCTTTTATGAAAGAGTTTGGTAAAATGCTAAATGAGGAATATTTGTTGCCCTTATTGAAGAGAGTGTCAAATATTTATTATATGCCTGGATTATGTGACCAAATAAATTAACATTGTTATATGGTATACTGTAGGTATTAATTACATTATTAATTAACTATTAACAGGGTCTTATTTATTATACATTTAGACTTAATATGAACATACTTGGTTTAAAGATAAATGTAAGAATAATAAATATAAATGTATGAATATTTGAACAGGAAGCCTATTTAAATGTACATTTTTGGAAAGCACACAATGACATTTCGAGAGTATGAAAATATAACTTCATACTGATTATTATTTATTTTTAGAAACAAATTGCTTAATTTTTAAATAACTGCTACCAAACATTAGAAAATTTAAAATAAATTTACCTTACAGGGCATTCTGTAAAAAAAAAAAAAAAAATTCTCTGTATTTTTTGGGTTGTTTTTCAGGGCGATTGTCTGAGTATTCTTAAATCTGTAGTACAGATTGTAATTTCTGTGGGGAATTGCCTAAATCTGCCAATGTGCTGAAAGAAATCTACCTAAAGTAATTATTATAGCCCATTGAAAGGTTTTTGTTGTTGTTTTAAGTACTGTAGAAACACGTTTTAGTTCTGTCTCTCAAAAAACTAAACCTAGTTTCTTAAATATGCATTCCAAGTCAGCACGTCTTGATTCAAGAATGTTCATTCATTCATTCATTCATTCATTTTCTTTTTGGCTTAGTCCCTTTATTAATTAGGGGTCACCACAACAGAATGAACCACCAACTTTATTCATTCATTCATTTTCTTTTTGGCTTAGTCTCTTTATTAATTAGGAGTCGCCACAGCAGAATGAACCACTAACTTCATTCATTAATTTTCTTTTTGGCTTAGTCCCTTTATTAATCTGGGGTCGCCACAGCGAAATTAACCGCCAACCTTTCCAGCATATGTTTTGGCAGCGGATGCCGTTCCAGGTATAACCCATCAATGGGAAATGCCCATACACTCTCATTCACACACATACACTACGGACAATTTAGCTCACCGAATTCACCTGTAGCTCATGTCTTCAGACTGTAGGGGATCCGGAGCACCCAGAGGAAACCCATGCAAACACGGGGAGAACATGCAAATTCCAAACAGAAATGCCAACTGACCCAGTTTTATTTTCTCCTAGAACTGTCTTGAGCGTCTCACACCTTCAAAAGCCACTATTGCATTTCAGCTTTGTCTTCTGAGACTCAAGTAATATATTATATATAAGACTAATTATTAAATAATTACATGAGAAGTGGCTTCTTATACTTTAACAATTGCAAATTTTTATTTTGTTATTTGGAGCCAGTTGATCAGGAAGTGACGATTTTATTCTTGTTAACTCATTGGATAGAAACCTGGCTTTATTCTCAAATGTTTTTATGCATTATTCCAGTTTTGGTCTTTAGATGGAAACATAGCTTGTATTGTAAGGTGTAGTTATTATATTCATTCATTTTCTTGTCGGCTTAGTACCTTTATTAATCCAGGGTTGACACAGCAGAATGAACCGCCAACTTATCCAGCAAGTTTTTACGCAGCGGATGCCCTTCCAGCCGCAACCCATCTCTGGGAAAAATCCACACATACTCTCATACACTACGAACAATTTAGCCTACCCAATTTAGCCTACCTGTACCGCATGTCTTTGGACTGTAGGGGAAACCATAGCAACCGGAGGAAACCCACGCGAAGGCAGGGAAAACATGCAAACTCCACACAGAAATGCCAACTGAGCCGAGGCTCGAACCAGCGACCTTCTTGCTGTGAGGTGCCAGCAATACCCACTATGCCACTGCGGCGCCTCAAGGATGTTTAGTTAATTGAATTAGAAAAAAATATATTTTTTGCAATGCCACATTTAATTCCATGGCTTAATGAATTCAACACTTTCTCACTTGATTTCTCAAGGCCTTTGCAAGAGAGAACAAATTGTTCTCTTAAGTGATTTTCTCTTTAATGAATCAGTTGATTGGGTTCACAAACTAGTCATGAATCAAACTGACCCAATTCTCACATTCAACTCACTGACTAGTCACAAAGATTAACATCCCACTGAAAGTGAATAATGCTTTAATTTCACTGTTTTCTTCACAAGATTGATTTTTTGGATTATAAAATAGTCTTTCAGAACACTATTATGGTATGTTTAGTTCTTTAAAAGTGATGGGTATTCATTCTGTTTTGCCTGTATGCGTTGTAAAATAATACTAAACATTAATAATAATACTGTATGCTAAACAATGCCTGGCATTTTACGAATCACAAAGGGCCACAGATTCAGCTAAAACTACTTTAGTGTTCTATTGAAAACTATCGCCAACATCTACTGGTGACAATAACTAAGTATTTGTTTACTAAGCTAAAGTATATAAGTATTTAAGCTTTATCAGGGTTTTTTATTTTAGGAAATCTTTAATTTTACTTCACCGCATTCCAAAACTAAATATTCTACTTTATACTCCACTCTATTTCCTGAGTCATAAGATGTCATAAGATTAATCATAAGTTGCTTAGTGCTTAACCTGTTAAATCGGGTCACAATTGCACTGAACAATACATTTATGAATTGGATTGACATCTGTGAATGAGTTATTCATTTATTCAAATGATCTGTTCAGAGTTAGTCTCCAAAAAATTATTTACCGATTCAAATAATCAATTCAGACTGCATCTCTTCAGATTGAATCTCTAGAAAATGATTCACTGATTCAAATCTGTTTAAAGTTTGTCTCCAATAAATGATTTACTGATTCAAAAGACCTGTTCAGAGTGAATCTTCAGTAAACAATTTATTGAGTTTGCAAACTAATCGTAACAACCCAGGCTCATTCTGAAAACATACCGCTATATACTTCTCTTTTTGTATAGCATCAAATATGTCCAAGAAGGTATCTTTTTTTTTTTTTTTTTGCAGTTTTTGTTTTCTCGAATCCACCAGAGGCACTTTTTGAGATCTCAAATTACTCTTGAAAGTGCCATTCATGCCTGCTGTTCTTGCATAAATACACCAGAGGTTGCTGTCGACTGACTGACTGACTAACCGATCGACTGGCCCACCCTCCTCCTTCCCTAAACCCAACCAATAGTGTTTTCAAAAGCACCAATTGACCTGCCCACCCAATTCTCTAAACCCATCCGACAGTTTTAAAAAGCAATCCAGAAAAAGAAAAGCCCTCGCCTGATTTTTACCACGTTTTCAGATTTTACCACATTCTCAGCCTGTTATTTACTTGTTTATTTTATTTTTTGGCCACTGTTTTTGTCTTACGTGCTTTCTGGAACCGAACTTTACTGGACTCAAACCTTGTTGGTCAACTCCTCTCTCCGTCCACAGATGTACATGGTGAGCTACTGGGCAAACTGGTAACAGCACGAAAGCCATCCATATGGAATTAAGGTCAACTGGTTAACGCGAAAAGGAATGTCATCATACCGCCCTGTAGCGTTTGTTTTAAAAATGAAATGCAGCCATACGTACTTCTGGCTGCATAATTTGTGATCTCCATAAATGTATATAGGGCTACGTATTCAGAATGAGCGTGTGTTGAATTTTAATGGTGTTCAAATTTTCTCACAATAAGCATTCATCAGTAAGTGCTTTTGAATTTGAAAACTTTATAGTTCTATTAGAGTAATGTTTCACTAGGGTGTCCTTAATTTCACTTCAGTGCCTAATTTGCCACTGCCAACATACTTAGATGGACTGGAAATCAGTACAATTTAATTTGTTCGTGAACTGTCCCTTTAAGAGCGAGATAAAACAGAGCAATGCAATTTGTTTAAAATGCACTCCATTCTTTTCCGCTCTCAGCTCTCTGCATATTGTGTGGCCGTTTGAAGTCTGCAAGACTGGTCTGTAAGTGAATTCGGCTCTGACCGGCAGACGTGTGCACGGAGGGTCCTCTGTTCTTCCTTAAACCCCACTGATGTGTCTGGGTATCCATGGCAACCAGAGGGCCTTGAGCTCAGTGCCTGGTTTCAGAAAAATTCCAAGCGGAAAGAGGGGCAAGTTCCCACTCGAGCGCCACGGTTTGTGTGTTTGCCCCTGAAACCAATTCAATTCTCACCCTTCAGTTTTTCCCAAGCCGCAAATACAACAGCTGCGCCGAGGGCAGGAGAGCAGCGGGGAGGCGAAACGCTGTCATTATGGCAGACAATAAAATGAGAAGAGGCAGAGAGAGGTTAATAGTGAGCATTCCTCTGCTCCTATCAGAGTTGTAATGTATTATTAAGGCAGAAAAATATATGTCATAAATCATTAGCGTGCGTCGTGCCAGAGCAATGGGACAGTGGCGGTACAGTCAGGCAGCCACACAATGCGTCCTGTGACACCTCCAGAGCAGTTCCTTTAACCGAGACAATGCATTACAAGATGAATAGCTGCACCGTGCTGCCACAATAGCGCTTGGCTCTTCTGTGTATCTTTTCCTAACCCAAACGCCAGTCTTTGCACCCCGTGCTGCTAACCAGCGCTTCTCTGAAGTGATTACCAGCGGAATTTAATTAGCCCCATAATTAGTCTAAGAAGGGGGTGATGGGAACAGATGGAACAAATGCCAGGTGAGCCCTTTGGCCCCCTGAGAGCCGGGTTCGGGAGTATGCGGGAGCTTGGGGAACTAGCAAACGCCTTTAATTAGACGATAAAAGACGCCCGCATTGGGGGCTTCGCTTCCTGTCCATCACCTGCGGCCTGTTCTATTCCCTCATTAAAAAAGTAAAGAAACCTCTTCGAGTGGACGTCAGCGCGTGTGGTTGTGTTTTACAGAGATTGAGTTCATTAGTGACCGTGCTGACCTGAGAATCCAGCGCCAATGATGATGTTGCCATAGGACGGGTGGGAATCAAGGACGAAGTGGTGGTCTGGTGTGACCTGCAAACAACAAAGCAAGGGAATGTTAAACATCAAGACTCAAGACTGTAATTATTTCTGCAAATATTTGACCTTTTCAGACGAATGAGTGCTGTTTGAAGTGAATTAAAAATGTTTAAAAGCTGCTTAAAAGATAAGGCACAACATGCTTGTAATTGCTGTTGAACAGGAACGACAAACATTTGTGTTAAAGTCTTATCAGTCTACCTGTGCTTCTCAACCACATTCCTGGAGGACCCCCAACATTGCATGTCTCCTTTAGTTGTGGTCACACTGGGCTTTTTATTGTCTATAGACTTTCATTCATATGCAAGCAAATGTGACAGACCGGAAACGCAAGTTCATGTGACAAGTTTTGCAGTTCACAGCATTGCAAAGTTCAAGCTTAGTGATCTCTTATCTGCGAAATCGCACTTTGTGACTGCGTGAGACCAATCAAAAATCAAAGCATGATCTCTCTGAACAGAAATTTAAAATATGAATCAATCACTAGCTTTTTAAAATGTCTAATTATCTTGTTTAATCCTGCCCCTTTTTGCCACGCCATATGGCAGAATTTTTCATGCTCAAACAATAGTGTGACGGCGGCATTTGTCTGTTACATCCATTACAGGTCTTTAAGTTTCTGCTAAAGAGCTGATGATCTTAATCAGGTGTGTTTTGATTAAAAGACAAGAAAAATGTACAGTGTTGGTGGTCCTCAGGAACGTGGTTAAGAAAAACTAGTATATACAGTACTGCACACTTTGTTTTTTCCTGAAGGAATTGAATCCTGTTCTATTTCAAATTGAAGTATTTAGGTATTCCTAAAGAATGCTTCTCAGATTTCACAAAAATAGAAAAAGCACAATTGCTTTGAAAATTGATAATAACTGGACATTTCTTAAGCATCATATCAGCATATTAGAATAATTTCTGAAGGATTGCATGAAAATGAAGACCACAGTAATACATTATATTTTAAAATTAATTATTAATATATATTGAAATAGAAAAACATTGGGTAACATTTTAAAATAATGGTCATTAGTTAATGTATTTACCAACATGAACAAACAAGTAATATTACGTTTATTACAGTATTTATTTATCTGCTTTAACATTATTTACTGTTAAGTCAAATAACATTAGTGTAACTGACGGGTTGGGGATCCACATGCAGTTTTACTTACAAAGAATAGTCGTGCAGGCAATGGTCAAACATAGAAGCAAAGAGTAGCATACAGGTTATCCAATATCGTAGTCAAAAAAAAAAAAAAACAGGGGAGTGGTCTCCTGAGGCTTCTTCTAGTCTAGAGAGAGACTAAATGGAAAATGCTTCGTAATGTTGCAGGGTATGAACCAACAAGACTCAGCAATGTATGTGAGTGTGTGTGTGTGTGTGTGCTGTTTATATGGTCAATGTAATTACTCTTGAAAAGCTCCCAGCTGTGTGTTTGTGTGTTTAATCAGTGGAGAACCGGAACAGGTGTGTGTGGTGCCTAAAGGGAGTTGTAGTTCATATGATGGCAGAATTGTAGTCTGAATGAAAGTGAATGCTCTAAAGCGGTCTATAAGGGTTAGATCGCTGGTGATCGTGACAGTTCAAGTTAACTCATTAAATTCATTAATGTCATCAAGCACAACTTTAGATTTTAATAAGACATTAGTTAATTTTTCTTAATGATTAATATATGCTTTACACAATTATTCATACTTGGTTAATGTTAGTAAGTACATTAACTAACATTAAGTAATAGACCATTGTTTTAAAGTGTTAGCAAACATTGAAATCATGTCACAGTATGCTGAAAGCAGCACTTATTGAGCTGAAGGCACTTTAAGGCCTTTATGTAAATGTGAAAAAGGTGTTTGTTATTATTTAGTAATGCCACAGCCACTTAAATTGTTGATAGAAAATAGTTTTCAGCCATTTCATGTAATTTGCCAAAGAAATACAGCATTGTTATGACAGTTATAGCCTCACCTATAGGCTGACTTGCTTATTGAGGCATAAAACGTTTTCTAATTTCTCATTAGGACCAAGAGTCAAACATGCACATCACGTTTCGTTCTGATTGGCCTCTTTTAACTTTGTCTATTAGGTGCACAAACTTCATTGGATAATTGCAAGCATGCTGTTTTTAAGATACTCCAGTGCTCTCAAGGACATTAGTGACACTTTGGACAAAAACATTACATACCAAGTTTCAAGTCAGTTAGACTATATCTGTAACCATTTCATATGGTTCCACTCAGTTATTTGTTTATTTTATGCTTTAACTCAGAACTTTATCTCTGTGTACTTACTGGCATTCTGTGGGTCTCCTGACAGGTCAGTCAAGGCCAGTTTATAAAGGATTCAGATTGTGATGCATCATCATCATCATCACTGTGCTTTTTCATGATTGATGTGATTGCATCTTGCATTTGTATTATTTTTTCATCTTGACCATCTGGACAAACTTTGACGATGCAGAAGTTCACACAGCAACTGAAAACCTGCTCTGACTTTTTATGATGTACTGATGTGTTAAATGAAAGACTAATGCCAAGTTCAGACTGCAGGATTTTAGCCCCGATTTTGACTCGCCGACAAATGCCTGAAATCACAGGCAAATCTGTGCTCGTGCATGTAAGTGACAGAATGAACTATCAAAGACGCGATCTGAGAGAATCGCCGGTGTGTCGCCGATGCCTGTGACATATTTTTCTTGGAGCTGTCGGCGATTCAAATCATGCGGTGTGAAATGAGTTTTGACTGAAAATAACATTGGCGATCACCTATAGCCAATGAGAGTGCAGCATCCACTTGTGTGTGTGTGTGTGTGTATCTCCCGGCCAGCGACCTAACAGCAACCTAACTTTCCCATGTGGTCCCCCATCCAGGAACTGACCCGACTCAGCCCTGCTTAACTTCAGTAAGTAACCAGTCTTAGGCTGCAGGGCGATATTGCTGTGGCACAGAAAGCTTGCCTTTTACTTAGGACTATTTGTCAAAGATGTGGGTAAAAGGTAATAATGTTGTAATGTTCAATTTCCTGCACAACCTGATATTTTATAAGATCTGAATCAATCATCAGGTGAAACAGGTAATAATTTTCTTTTTGCCTGTATATGTTTTTTCCTTCACTTCAGCACGGCTTGGTTTGCATTTTCACTGTAGTACTGCTTAAAGGTTCAAGAAGCCCTTGAGTACTTATTACCACATTTGTGTGTGTTAAGCGTCAATTAAGACGATATTAGCACCTGTCAGCTTTAATTAAGGGGAAAACTGGATAATTTTGTCTGCTAATTTCATATTCTGGGTTGAAAAAACATTTTTGGGGTGGAGAGCTGTTCGAGAATTGAAGAATAACGGACTTTGTCTTTTATAAGTTGAGTTTGTTACCATTCAGACACATTGTCTATCCATGCTGCTGTGTTCACCTATGTTTTAAATTATCTGGAAAAGAGACATGCTTCACTGCTACTGCACTGTTATTGAGGAGGAGAGAAGTCCTCATTTATAGTGTTTATATAAGTGTGTATGGGTGTTTCCCAGTGATAGGTTGCAGCTGGAGGGACATTCGCTGTGTAAAATATATGCTGGATAAGTTGGTGGTTCATTCTGCTATGGCAATCCCTAATGAATAAAGAGACTATGCCAAAAAGAAAATGAATGAACGAATGAATGAATAAACATGATTATCTTTATAATAATATAACAAATTGTGTTTATATATTTATATAAATATAAATATATTTCTTTTAAGTTTATTATTGTAAACTATAAAATTATGCGTCTACTCAAGGTTTGTGTCTCATTTTGCGAGCCAAATGACAGTTGTTCACTCCAATCTTATACCCCTGCTCTGGCAGCCATGTCCACTCTTTCCTCTTCTCACAGCACTCTACGCCCATCATAAAGCATTTTTTAATGAAAAAATTCAGAGGTAAATTTGAATTGCAAGTGGGGGGTTTTATGGCCTTTTAAAGTGGGTGGGATTATCACTATAGTTGCGATAAAGTTTAAAGTTGCAATATAGTTGTGATTCTTTTGGACTAATCAGAGATCAACAGTTTATACACAATGTTTTGGTAGCTGCAAGGTACTAGGTATGAAACAAAGTGAAAAAAACAAAAACAAAAGTGAACCCTACCAAACCAAACAGCACTGTACCATGCAGTGGAGTATAGATTTGCATTTTTTCTCTTTCAAATGGCCACACTTCCAGCAAATTTTTTTTTAAATGTTAAAAAGTCAAAGGGACTAAGCCGACAAGAAAATTAATGAATGAATGATTGAATGTATGTTAAAAAGTCAGCTACATCCTAAATGATCCGAGGGTAAATAAATTAACATCAAATCTTTACTTTAGTGTGAACTATCCCTATAAAGAAAGACAAGATTTCACTTAGGAAACATAAATGAACCAAGTTTATTAAGTTATTTATGTTTATATAAGAACTTTACCTGTCAAAGTTAATAGTAATTAGTTACTAGTTAATTAGTTAAAGTTATTCATACTAATAGTAGAATTAATAAAGTTATCGTAACTAATAACCATGACTTTTTTCTGATTTTAATTGCAATAATGTGCAGCTTTTTGTAAAGCTGCTTTGAAACAATAATTACAGTGAAAGCCCTGTACAAATAAACTTGAATTGTCTTGAATAGAGTGAATTAAGCATTCCACATCATGGTCACGTCTGGTTAGCACAAAATTCAGATTTATTTGAAAGAAATAGCTATAATCGCTCTCCACCGTATCAGATCGTGCCTGTTTAAGACACAATGCAATTCCAAGCATCTGCAACAATAAAATCAATTCAAAAACTCAAGCTGAACCAAAATCAATTCCAACTCAATTCCAGCAAGCGTTCAATCAAATGACATGTCAGAATAAAATATGACTCATGCATTTAAATACCCTCCTCCTCTTCTTCTCAAGTTTGCTCTGGGACACAAAGTGGCACCTGAGGATGGGCCATAAAGCCACTCACCGTATACATGCAGCTCTCCACCACAGCAGGTGCTGGCACCAGCCCAGGGAGACAGCGGGTGACGTAGCGCGCTAGAATATCGATGTCCCCTCTATCCGTCTGTTTATCCCGCTCATCCGGGTCGGTCTCACTGCCCATGTGGTAACACACCTGCTCAGACACATGCATGCACACTATGATCCATAAAAACAATCTGACCCATGATACATTTCAGATCTGTGATCCACCACTTGGCATGCTTGGAGGAGCAGCAGATATATATATGCAGAAGCCAGGCTCCGGCGACTGGAGCAGACATAATGCATCTAACATGACACAGCCATCTGTGCTCTCCCATTCAGCCTTGCTAAGTGTGATGAGACTGAAGGCTCCTGCTGGGCTCTGCCGTGTGCTGAAACCCAGCCATTAGTACTGGGAGAACACAGACCAGAGGAGAGTGCTGTTTCTTTGCTTCTGTGAAAGCATCAAGGACCGTGTTTTCATTTGGAAAGATATAGTTTGCGCTCGCATCTGATGCACTCCAGCTTTGAAAGCTCTGCGAGTGGGGATGCGAGTGCTGTATTGCTGCATAAGGGAGTTGTGGAGTAATTAACAGAAGGATGAAAACTGCCACGTTGAAGCTCTGTGGCTTTTTTATAAGATGTGGGCAGGCAATTGCATTAATGCAGTGGTGTGTGGTACATATTGATATGGTGGTTTAGCTCGTGTTGTCATGGAGAAGTGCTTTTTTAACAGGAAAATAAAGTAAGAGTAGAAAAGCAGACTAAAGTTGGGGGTTAAAGTGAGATTTTTAACTTTTTTAAGCTAAATATGGTGTGGATGGGTCTTTCTTGTGTTGTGAATTATATTCCAAAGCTACTTATCCCTAACATCAAGCAAGTAAACACACAGAAGATGTAGTTAGCTGGCAGTTTTCATTTCACTTAATTTTGTTGAAATTTAAGTTGCTTGTGTAACTGTGTTACTGGCAGCCTGATCTCACGAGAAAACGTAAGTATTTTATGTTTTGCCAGTTTAGTGGCTAATTCGTACAAATTCGTATGAGTTCAGTCGTACGAAATTGTACGATTGTAAAAAGGGAGAGTGGCACCTAACCCCACCCCTAAACCCAACCATTATTGGGGGATTAGCAAGTCGTACTAAATTGTATGAATTAGATCGTACAAATTCATACAAATTAGCCACTAAATCAAAAAGTTACGAATTGCCATGAGATTGTGTTGTTACTACAGGTTAGGATATAAAATTACGTTATAAAAGGACCATTTTAGGTAAAGAAAATGTTATATTATGTAAAAGTCAAGTGCTATTTGGGGGTTTCCGCCTGGATTTTGCTTACTAAAATATAAAAGCTTCCCAAATCCACATGCAGAGATGTGAATGCACAAGTTGGGTATCGTTTTAAAGAAACCCCTTTGAATGTTCATAAAACACTATTTAAAGTGAATAAAATAATTGTATATGTTGCCTGTATTATAATAAACCCCTCCAAAAAACAGGTGCTTTATTATTATTTTTACATAATAATTATTTAAATAATTACAAATATTTAACTCAAATTTCAAAGTGTATCTTGTATGTGCTGTGTGATCTAGATTGCTGTAATTAATTTTGTTGGTTCCTGCACATGTCAGTAATCATAGAAAAAAAAAAAAGTCTCTATCAAAATCTATGCAAAAGTTATTCTATTCCAACTGATGAGAGAACGGAACCACTTATGGGGGTATTGGGCCAGTACGGACCTTTAAAAATTTAAAGCCCGCCGAAGGATGTCACTGACCAGCTACCAGGTCCTAGTTTTGGAGGTTAATAACAAATTTACACACCTTCATTAGTACTCAGTGAGTATTAAAAAACAACAGCAGCAACAACAAATAACTTAAGGTTTAGCAAGTATGTACAGTCAACATTTGAAGTGGATCAAAAAGATTTTATTTATTTTTTATAATCATTCAAAGACCAGAATGGGCATTGTTCAATCGTTTAAGGACAACTTTGTTTCAGTATGGATTCAGTGCTTTCCACAGGTTTGAAATATACTTGGGTGGTAGCCGGATTGAAACACACCATTTACCCACATTACATAAATAGTAAACTATTTATGACAAACAAAACTTTAATTTTTATTATAAAAATTTAATTTTTAACAATCATTTTTATTGATTAGGACACTTTTTTTTTTTTAACAGTATTTCTTTTTAATTAGTAAAGAAATATAAAATACTGTTGAAATAAAAAGAATGTTTTTTTTTTCTCTTTGATACTATTTAGGAGCCATGTGCATCCACTGACAGGTAAAACCTGCTTCTCTCTCTCTTTCAAGATCTAAGCAAACTCAAATGGCAAAGAATTTTAGATTTGTATATAAAATAGCCCATGTAATATATTAACATCATCAAATTAATAAAATAATCAGCAAAAGAGAAATAAATGACAAAAAAGAGAATAAAAACAGACAATTTCTCTAAAAATGATTTTAATTACAAAATTAAAACCTATAGATTATTTAAATTAGGCAAATGCGTTAATTAACCTTTACTAATGATATATTTTGCAGCCAATTTAGTCCAGTTATTTTGTCCTCTTCGAATATATAGTAAAGTTTTTCTCAGTTGTTTGAATTAAAAATATGAATTATTTAATGTTGCACTCGCTCTCTCTGTGTGTGTGCAGTCAGTGCAGTTAAAAAGGTCATGAAAAAATGCATACAAGCTTTTGAAAGCAAAAGCAAAATCAAAAGTTGAATCACGGACATTTTAGGAGATTTGGAAACACCGGCAAGATGAATTTTTCAAGTGCCAAATAGGTGCGTTTCTGTGGGAATGCAGAGCAAGTGAGACTGTCTGTGGGAGTGTTGACAAGCACACAGAATGAAACGGGTAAACGAGAGAACATTTTCCACTACTGTAATCAATCACGGATGTTTGGTTGTATTGTATATTGGGCAGATCCCGTAAAAAATAATTAAAAAAAAGTGTAAAATGATCTTAACAATAGTAAAAAAAAAAAGTGCCACTAAATAAATCTGAGCAGCTGTTAATATACCAAGGCGGCCTGCCCAAGTAAAGTCTATGTGTGGGAAGCACTGGAAATTGATTCACATCAAATGTTGACTACTGTATTGTATGTCTTGTTTTCAAGCCTAAATGTCAAAACTTTCTTAAATCAAGTGATAACGTGAAAAATGAAATGATCAAAATAGCAAGAACAGAAGAAATGTTTGACAAAAGGCTCAGATTAATTCAATCAAAATGTAATTTTCATATTACATTGACAGTCATTGGCTCTTTTAAACGTAACCTCAGCTGTGTGCTATGTTTTTTAGAAGTCAACACCTCATTTCATGTTTGCATTTCGAGGTAATGTGTCTTGATGCAAGGGTGCTTAAATATTTGAAACAGAAAAACTAAATATTGTCATGAATTCATGATTTTTTTTTTGTCATGCACTATTGTTAAATTGTGCAAGGGAGGCATATAATTTTTTAAAAGACCCTTTCGAGATCTGCAGAAACTTAATCCAGCTTAATTTCAGTTAACTGTTTTTAGCAGTTTTCAACACAACACTGATAGTATCTGGAATGATCTGAGTCGGGCCTGATCTCGAGCACCAAGTTTGCTAACCACTACACCGTGGCTACAATCAGAATCGGCTCTTTCTAAATAGTAATGCCCCAGTCACTCACTTTCATTAGTCCTGGATATTCATTGGATGGAAGGCCATAAATGTCATATTCCCCCTCTTTCGGCTCCATCTGTATAAAGCATGGAAAGCTCTGGTCGACACTGTAGGTTCCTGGGATCTTCTCCTTCCAGTAGCAAACGTTAATCTTTACAACCTGCACAGAAAGAAATCGAGTCCACATCTCCAACAGCAAATGATCCAAATTGCTGATCAAAAACAGCATAGAATGCTGATTAAAATGAATATAAACATTGATATTGAACTCACATCAGGGCAAATGTAATAAGAAGTAAGAAACAGGTTGCTCAGAATAGTCCAGCCTGTCTTCGCATTCAGGGACCATAAAAATTCACCAGTGCACAAATTCATTGCTCATATATTGTCGTGTTCACCCAAGCGCAGACTTTCAAGTCCGTGCTATCCTGAAAAATGCAATTCCAATTCTAGGTCCAATTCAGAGTTTAACTAACACAGAATACTTTTTCCATCACTTCTCTGGTGGCGTGTGACACATAAGAGATCTGTGTGTGGACTGGAGACTCTGTTTATAGGATAGGGAGGCGAGGATGGCCTGCTTTCTGTACATTCACAAATAACTCAAAATTCATTCTGCCCAGGGGTGTAATCCAGATCAATCTGTGTGGTGTGTGTGTGTGTGTGTGTGTGTGTGTGTTTCACAGGCCAAGGCTGATAGTCAATATGCCTTATGTATTCCCAGTGTTTTAATATTTCAGGAGCTGTTTTCCAAACCTAGACATTTCACATTGATATATTGTTCAGTGATGACTTTGGAAAAAAAAAAATAGGTGAGTTTTTGGATGGTTAGAGGGAAGAAAGAAAGAAAGAAAGAAGTAAAGAAAGAAAGAAAGAATTGGATTGATAGATTTATGAAAAATTTGTAAAAATAAGGAAAGACGAAAGGAAGAGATGGATGAAAAGTGAGTAGAAAGAAATAAAAAAGGAAATTAAGAGATGCATAGGTGATAAATGAGAAGAAAAAAGAAAAGAAAGATAGAAATAAGTTGCAGTAGATGAACTATTGGATGTATTTGAGTGAATGAATGAATGAATGAATGAATGAATGAATGAATGAATGAATGAATGAATGAATGAATGAAAAGAAAAAAAAAACATGGATGGCTACTACAGATAAATATTTGAAATATTGTGATTAGGCGAACAAGAAAAAGAAAACCAGAAAGTCAAAAAAGGAGGAAAAAGGACGAATAAACCAAATAAAAAAAGAAAATAGATAAGGAAATGACAAAGAAATGTGTTTACTAAATGATAAAAGAGAAAACAATTAGGTGGAAAGAAAAAAGAAAAGAATGAAAAAGAATTTAATCAATGGATTGATGAAAAAATTGTAGAGAGAAAGGAAAGAAGGAAGAGATGGATAAATGAAAAGTGAGAAGAAAGAAAGAAAATAATGAATGAATGAATTTGTAGTAGATTAACTGTTGGATGTATGTAAGTTAAAATGAATGAATGATAAGAAAAAAATGGAAGGCTACTGTTAATTAAACATTCAAAATATTGTGATTAGGTGAACAAGAAAAAGAAAACCAGAAAAAGTCAAAAAAAGAGGGGAAAATGAAAATGAAATGATGAACCAAATAAACAAGAAAATAGACAAGGAAGTGACAAAGAAATGTGCATAAAGATGGATAAATGGGAAAACAATAGGACAAAATGGGATAAAAAGAAAGAAAGAAAGAAAGAAAGAAAGAAAGAAAGAAAGAAAGAAAGAAAGAAAGAAAGAAAGAAAGAAAGAAAGAAAAAGATTGATGAAAATTGAAAAGACAAAAAAAAGAATTGGATTGATGGATTGATGAAAAATGAGTAGAAAAAAGGGAAGAAGAAGGGAAAGTTGGATAAATGAAAAGTAAATAGAAAGAAAGTAATGGATGGATAGATGAATAGTGAGAAAAACGAAAGAACGTAAAGCATGGATGGACAAAAATGAATCAAAAAGAAAGAAAGTAATGGATGGATGGATGAAAATTGAATAAAAAAGTAATGGATGGAGGGACAAATTAAAAGTGAGTAGAAAGAAAGAAAAAGAAAGAAAAAGATAGTAATGGATAGATAAAAATAGAGTAATAAAAAAAAGAAAGAAAGATTGATGGATAGATGAAAAGTGAGTAGAAAGAAAGAAAGAAAGAAAGAAAGAATTGAATCTATGGATGGATAGATGAAAAGTGAGTTGAAAGAATCAAAGAAAGATTTTGGATGGATAGATGGATAAAGTGAGTAGGAAAAAATGAAAAAAGAAAGAAATGGATGGATAAAAAGTGAGTAGAAAAAAGAAAGAAGTAAAAACGATGAAGGAATGAGGATGAGTAGCTGAATGAATAAATGTATGAATGAATGATGGACTGGTTGACCGACCGTCAGTGTGTGTGTGTCTGTGTGTTTGTGTGTATAGTATGTGTGTGTGTGAGAGATAGTGACCTTGAGCGGCAGCTGCAGTCCAGCGTGTGCGAGTAGTGTGTTTGCCCAGGGTCCTGCTGTGATCACCACACTCTTCCCTCTGTACACAGCAGAGCCGGTGCTCACAGTCACCACTGCACCAGGAGAAACACCAGTCACTGTCTGCCCGTCCTTCAGCACTCCACCACTGCACTGAAACAGCCTCTGAACAACACACACACATTCAAAACATCTCATCCTAATAAGAGCACCCTGCTTAAAATTTAACAGCGCCTGAGTTTGACGTGTCAGTGGGGATCAGTTAAAACTGGAAAAAGCTGGTCAGATTCGGGCAACACATAATGAAAGAGTTTCCTTAGTCAGAGCCAACAGGGAGCTTATCACTGCACTCTGTAGCTGCTGTAGGCTGAGCTTATTGAATCCGGAGAGGCAGTGTGTATAAAAGTGCACCGCCATATTCCCTGGATAGGGTGTAAGGAGCCTTTAACAAGCTAGTTTGCAGCTTTATCTTATCTCGTAGAGCTTTAAAAAGCACGGTGAAGGCGACACTGAAATACTGTTGTGTACAAAAAGAACTTTGCTCAATGCCGTTGTGACACTAAAGTTTACATGCCTGACATAGCAAGGCATTTATTAAATTCCTGAATTGATTGAACTGAATAGAATTAAAGGGTTAGTTTAAGCAAAAATTAAATAAAATCTGTTATTCATTACTCACCCTCATATACAATTTTCTGACATATTTGTTCGTTTTCGAACACAAATTAAAATGTTTTAGATCAAATCCAAGAGCTCCCTCTTCATCCATTTAGACATTTAGGGCTCTATTTTAAGGATCTAGGCACAAAGTCTAAAGAGCATGACGCAAACGACTTAAAGGTGTGTCCAAACTTTTACAAGGACAGAAAATACGCTCTGCCCTGGCACGTGGTCTAACAAGGTTGTGCTTATTCTCTTAATGAGTTATGGCTGTGTTTTGAGCATAACATGCATTAAACCAATCAGAGTCTCACCTCACATTCCTTTTAAGAGTCAGTTGCGTTGCGCCATGGCACATTTGCTATTTAGATGGCAGATTCTGTAAGTAAAAACTGAACGCTTCACTAGCAAGAAAACAGTAAAACCGACCATCTGCAGCACAAGAATAAAGAAACGATCGTCCTCCATTCTGGCTCTTTACTTTCTCTTTATTTTACTTTTACTCTTTACTTTACTCCTTTACTTTTGTGGATAAGGAAACACTGCTGTACGCACTCCACTGAAGACATCCATTGACTTACAGATTTAATTTAGTTTGTTAAGCACAAAGTTTGTTTCAAAACTATTTCTAAATTTAGTTTTAATTTTCAGCAAACAAATGAACAATAATAACGAAGTATGATAAAAAAATTGAATTATATCCAAACACACATCCAATTGTTATGCCCCATATGGTAATGCATACATCTCCAAAACCCGACAGGTGGACAAACCTAAACCAGTTTTTATTAAAACAAATATAAATATTCTTATAATAAATAATACTACTACTAATAATAACATTATACAAATGCAAATTGTCATGAATCAACTGAAAAAAGTCAAATGATACTTTTTTTGTAACATTTTAATCCTTAATTCTTTTTTTTCCATATGTAAAGATATTTGTGTATCGCTGTACATCCTGTGTGTATTAAGCAATGTGTTAGTGTTTGGACCGTAGGTGCATAACTAACGCGCTCTGTGCTGGAATTTTGGTCTACTGTATGTCAGTTCCTCAAAATAACAACGTGCAAACAATGCTTTTTAGACTTGAACACCCATGAGTCCACAAAGTGGTGCAAATGGATGCTTTTTAAACAACGTGGTGCACAACATGAAAATTAGGGCTGTGCTGATCTAAAAATAGAAACAAATCACTTCAAACACATCTTGTGCCTTATTGTGCCGGGTGTATGATGGTCTAGAAAAGAAACCCAAAATATTTTCAAAACATTCCATGTGACTTGAACTACAGTGATTCAACTGTAATCATATATAGCTCCAAGAACACTTTTGTGGACTTAAAACAAACAACAACTGGGTTCACCTTCAATTGCCAACCTCACTTTCATCAAGTTGGACATGTTCCTGGATTAACATCTATGTTGATCCTGGACAACATTTCAATCAGAATTAAGAAATACGTTTACAGTTTATGTTAAGTTTAATCTTACAATTAGGTTTATGCAGTTTTACATGATTGTTATCCAACTATTATTCCTTTGGAAATAATTTACAGTTATGGTTTAGGGGTAGGAAAAAGGTGTGAATTACTTTTAATAAAAAAATGATGTTCCAGGATCAACATGACGTGCCACCTTCAGTATATCGCCCGCGTCAGATCATGGTGCACATTTACTACAGGCAATACGACACTTGAGTGTTTGCTGTAAATCTAATGACAATGTGACATACTGCCTGTAGTAAACACACACACACACACACACACACACTGACATGGTAGATTTGGTATTGGAAATTTTTTTTTAAAAATTGTTAAAAGTCAAAATCGCTGTCTATAAAGGATGAGAGAGCTCTCGGATTTCATCCAAAATATCTTAATTTTGGTTCTGAAGATGTACAAAGAACTCATAGGTTTAAAACGACATGGTGAGTAAATAATAACAGTATTTTCATTTTTTGTGAACTAATCCTAAAGAAAATAAAATGTAAAATAATTCACATATTTGGCATAAAAAAAGTCTCAATTCAAATGTCTGCTTTTGAAATGATATCCAAAAGTCCTGAGAGAAAATACATTTTAGTAGTTCTATGAGAATGTAAAGTAATACAGATGAAGTCGGTCCAAAGCTGGGTTTTGGAACTGTTGCAAATACATTCATTTCGCATACATAATTAGATGAGCATCTGATAGCTCTAAGCTGCCAGACTAAATATAAGATTGATGTGCAACAGACTCCCAGAGCTTTTTTTAATATATGATAAATATTTAAATAAAATGATTCACTGAAACACGCTTCCTCTTAAAAATAAGTAATCAATAAGATCCATGAGAAATATTATTAACATTTAAAAGAAATGTTTTCTCTTTTACACCTTTTGTTACATTTTAAGGTTGATGTGCATCACTTTGACAAAACCTCAGAATTATAATCATAAATCTTCTAATAAATTTGTTCACTAAAGTGAGAAATCCTTTTTAAATTTAACATTGCTGTTCAATAGTCAGATTTTTGAAGGATAGAATATAGAAAGATTTTTGATTTTTACATTTTTTATGTGCACTAAAGGCTGCATTTATTTGATCTAAATACATTCATTTATTCATTGTCTTTTCGGCTTAGTCCCTTTATTAATCTGGGGTCACCACAGCACAATGAACCGCCAACTTATCCAGCTTATGTTTCAGCATATGCAGCGGATGCCCTTCCAGTTGCAACCCATCTCTCTGGGAAACATCCATACACACTCATCATTCACACTCATACACTATGGACAATTCAGCCTAACCAATTCACCTTTACCACATGTCTTTGGGTTGTGGGGGAAAGCAGAGCACCTGGAGGAACCAACGCGAACATGGGGAGAACATGCAAACTCCACACAGAAATGCCAACTGACCCAGCCGGGGCTTGAACAAGCAACCTTTTTGCTGTGAGGTGACAGCATACTGCGCCACCATGTCACCGGATTTATACATATTACATTTAATTCTGTATTGACAAATCTGAATTAGTAGCAGCCAATGTTATGATAAATTATTTGTCAAAATTTGTTTTGCTGAATATTTCTAAATTTCTAAAATCATTTTCTTAAACTTTTTTAAAAAAATATTATTCAATGAAAATAAATTCCAAAGCATCATCAACCTTAAAAGTAAAAATTAACCCAAAAATTCAACAAAAAATTAACCAAAAACTATTTACACATGCTTAAGTGTTTTTTTTTCCTGCTGAACCTAAAAGAAGATATTCTGAAGGAGGCTGCAAACCAGTAACCACTCGCTTGACAACCAGACTACCATAGTAAGAAAAACAAATACTATTGAAGTCAATGGTTTCCATGTTTCTTCAAAGGATCTACCTTTGTTCAGCAGAGAAAGGAAACTCAAACAGGATTGTGACAAATTAAGTTTAAGTAAATTATGACTAGGCATGGGACGATAACTGTTTTCAAGGTATACCATGGTTTGGAAAGGTCAAGATTTCGAAACCACCAAAATTTTCAGCAATACCATGCCTCATCTTATACCAGCCCATGCCTAATGATGACAGCATTCATTGTCTGTTTTGTATGAACTATCCCTTTCAACTCCTTTCAATAAAAAAGTAAAGAATCAAACTAACCTTAAATGTTTTACACATCAATGTATAAAATCAGCTAACCTGCACAGCTTGGAGGGATCTTTCGGCATATAGCACCCCTGCGAAGGTGTCAATCAGCGCCCCATTCCCTTCAGAGAGATTGACATTGGAAATATGCTCATTAAACTCCTGCTTCTCCAGAAACACTGTAGGAATCTTGTGCCTCTGCATCGTGTCCTTCAGCTTTGAGAAGCCCTCTGATTTCTCTGGCCCCATAACCAGTAGACCAGTGCGCCTGTGGAGGAAAATCACAAGAAGACTCAGATCACCATGTTAAAGCGCTTTTGCTTTGAGGCATGTGTAAATTGTGCAAACTGCCATCTTCATGAGAGGAGTTATGGCGCTGTGGACGAGAGGTTGGGAACACAAGCTTTAATTCACACATATATGATAGATGGTCATGCTGTTTTCTGTGGCTACTGTTTTTCAAGGCCTACCTCATCTGCCAGCCATCATGATGCATGGGGAGCACCAGTTCACAGCTCCAAGTCATTCATCAGATTTTTATGACTGAATCCCTACTGTGTGCTTGATTCAGGACGCCGAAAAAAGGACTTCATGTCAGATTTGTCAACGCTCTTGTCTCTGATACCAACAGAACTGATCACATCACGATCCTGGCTTAGGTAAATTAGCGTAAATTTGTGATTTAAGGCAAGAGGATGAATATCAAATCGGGTAAATTGGAATAAGAATTGGAAACATTTACAAATGATGTAATGTTTAAATATGAAAGTAAGGTGTTATTTAAATATGTTCTAATTTAAATGTTTTTCAGGCACAAAAATCTGAACACTGGATGAAATAGGTTCAACATTTTGCATTTCCACAATAGAGCCAAAGGATTTACAGAGGGGATTTCAGGAATCGGCGAAGCAGTGGCGCAGTAGGTAGTGCTGTTGCCTCACAGCAAGAAGGTCGCTGGGTCGCTGGTTCGAGCCTCAGCTCAGTTGGCATTTCTGTGTGGAGTTTGCATGTTCTCCCTGCGTTCACGTGGGTTTCCTCCGGGTGCTCCAGTTTCCCCCACAGTCCAAAGACATGCAGTACAGGTAAATTGGGTAAATAAAAAAAAAAAAGGCTAAATTGTCCGTAGTGTATAAGTGTGTGTGTGTGTGTGTGTGTGTGTGTGTGTGTGTTTCCCAGAGATGGGTTGTGGCTGGAAGGGCATCTGCTGTGAAAAAAATCTTGCTGGATAAGTTGGCGGTTCATTCCGCTGTGGTGACCCTGGATTAATAAAAGGACTAAGCCAACAAGAAAATGAATGAATTCAGGAATCTTGTTTTATTAAGATTTCTTTTTTTTTGTAGGATAAAATGTACTGTATATAACCAGGCAAATTATGTATGAACGAATGTAAAAACAGAACTGAATACAAATTGTAAAGTCTGATAAGTGCTTTTAAAGTGGAGATTTATTTTATTTTGTTAATTTGTGCCTTGTTTTCTCTTCAAGTAAACGCCCTTTAAAATATGTATTACAACACCCTATGAAAGTCTACCAGTCAGAAACTAGCCAGTTTATTGATTGGTTTGATAAAAATAAGTTAAAAATTAATACTAAGAAAACAGAAGAGATGGTATTTGACCCAAAGTGTATAGGTGACCATCATCAAGTGGTTGTACATGACCATGTTAGAAGTAGAAGATTGGCAACCTATCTGTTCAAAGTAAATCTAAGATGACGCATCACTTAAAGAAAGGATGGAAAATTGTTGGGCACGATGAATATTTTAATCCTCAAGTTTTCTATGAGAATTGTGACCTCAATCAGGTGGAAAGGATTCTGAACGATCCAACTCATTACTAGTTTCCACATTATGAACTGCTTCCCTCTGGTAGGAGAAGGAGTCCCAAAGTGTAGGTTGAACCGTTATAAGAAATCTTTTGTACCTTTTTCAGTGGGTTTATTTATCTTAATTAGCATTATACATTTTGTAACTTTTGTATTTTTGTATTGTTTGTTTTGCTTGTTTTAATGGAATGTCTGCAGCAAAAAGGTGACGCCCATAACAAATTTCCTGTCAAGGACAATAAAGCTTACCACTACTACTACTACTACTACTACTACTACTTCTACTACTATTACTAAAGAGCTTGAAAACTCAAAAATGTATATAGAAAAACAAAGTCTTGTCTAAAGTGACTGTTCACCCCCCCCCCCCCCCTCCCAAAAAAAAAAACTGTCAACATTTGCACTCTACTTGTTTCAAACCTGTATGAGTTTCTATATTGTTATATACAAAATGCATTGTTTTATTAAATTTGGACACCTAATCACTGACATTCATAAAGTGCTAATTTTGTTCCCATCATAATTAATCTTGGTGTATGATGCATGACGCATAGGGGGATGGTGGTGATGGTGGAGTTTTGGTGACGTATGGTTGCGCAAAGTTAAGAACGAGGGTGGAGGGGCAGTGGGGGGTTTGGGGGGCAGTGGGGCACGTGAAGGGTGAAATGGGTGATATTAGAATATTTTGTATCGAATTTTTTATATAATCTAGAATGAACTTGTTTATAGTATTCTAGAAGTTGGTATAACTAAATGTGTACAATGTTTTAATTAATTTACACATATTTTAGTCAACTTATGAAATTTAGTCAACTAAAACTAGACTGAAACTAAAATGATTCAAAGACTAAAATATGACTAAAACTAAAATGGAACTTTAGTCAAAAAACTGACTATAAGTAAATCAAAATTTGCTGTCAAAATTAACACTATTACTCTTTTTTGTGTTCAGTAAAAAAGAAAAAAGAAAAAAAAGGAAATCAAGGTTTGGAACAACTTGAGAGTGAGTAAATGCTGTACATTTTATTTTTGCATGAATTGTCCTTTAATACTGAACAAATCATTTTACACAATCAAAATGGGCTTATTTTAAACTCAGGGGTCCTGTCTAATCCAGTTATGAATGTCTACTTTGTCCTTCATTGAACACTGTAACTAAAGCTAAATGTATCATTCATCCACTTGTCACAGCTTTATTGTGGATAGTGACCTTTTTGGCAGCTCTCTGGATAAAATAACAGTTGGTGATTCAAGCTTCTGGCATCCCATCTGATGTAAAAAGAATATTAAATCAATAAAAAGAGCCAGAACTGCCACTACTGTATAACAACATCAGGTTTGATCTTCACCTTAATTAATGCAATCTCTCTAAATAAAATCTATAATATTATTATGTTTGGAAGCTCCCTTGGCAAAGTAGGGTTTTGGACAATATGCAGATTCAAATGTGATTTAGTTTGGAAGAATTTGCACTAACAGCATAAGCTATGGCAATTTATTAAATGAAAAGGCAAAATTACTGGGATTATGCAGCATAAAGCATCCTTGTCCTGTGGTGTAATCAGTGCATTGGAAAATACCTTTAAATCATATTTCATAATATTCAGAAAACACATTCAAAGGTTATGTAAGGTTTTACTTTAAAGCAATTAGTATTTTTGTTCAGCACAGTGTATTTAAAATGCTCATTGAAAGTGAAATATTTGTAACAACTTTCGATTAAAAAAATTAAATAAAGTATGACAAAATATTTTCCCTATTCTGGGTTGCAGCTGAAAAGGCATCCGCTGTGTGCTGGATAAGTTAGTAATTCATTCCATTGTGTTGACCCCTGGAGGAAAAGGGGACTAAGCCAAAGGAAAATGAATGACAAAATATTTTCAAAACTGATAATAAGAAAATATATAATTATTATTATAATTATTATTAATGTATCTAAAGCACATTGCAATGATTTTTGAAGAACTTGCTGCTTTTACTTTATTTTGTCCATTAAATAAATTTAGCATTAGTAAGCTTTGACTTCCCTGATTTTTAGACTGGTCACATATATTTAATAATCTGATCATGGTTATTTGATTTAATAGAGCTACATGTGTAAAGGTAAAAATAATCACTTAACTCTTTGATGATCATATTCATACTGTAATATGTCAAAGTCCTTAAAGTTTCGCAAACAGAAGAATAATAAAAAACACTGCTGTAAAAGATCATGTCAAGTCAAAGGTCGTGATATGTTATGTATTATTATATTACATTTAGGTTTACAGGACTCTAGTGCAAAAACAACAATGATAAATCTGAAGAATGTTAAATATTGTAAATTTTTTTAAAGCATTTCACAAGTAAAGTTTTATCCATTAAAATAAGAGTTTGGGGACCTAGCATTTTTAGGAATAGAAAGATTCATTCATTCATTTACTTTTCGGCTTAGTCCCTTTATTAATCTGGGGTCGCCACAGCGGAATGAACTGCCAACTTATTCAGCAGATGCCCCTTCCAGCTGCAACCTATCACTGGGAAACACCCATACACACTCATTCACACACATACACTACGGACAATTTAGCTTACTCAATTCATCTATACTGCAGTAGGTAGTGCTGTCGCCTCACAGCAAGAAGGTCACTGGTTCGCGCTTGGCTGGGTTAGTTGGTGTTTCTGTGTGGAGTTTGCATGTTCTCCCTGCGTTTCCTCCGGGTGCTCCGGTTTCCCCCACGTGACGCCCGAAATAGAGAGCTAATACTTTCAAATTAGTTATTGCAAAAGAAAAGGGCAATGCAAAAATTTCAACTAAACTGTATATATTTTTTAATGTTTTTCTTGATTTTTTCCCCTGTTTATTACATTTTTATTCCATATTTTTCCCCACCAAATTAAACTGGGTGTGCTAATTTTTGGACTGTGATCTCACCTTTTTTTGTAGTTCCAGTTTTGCTTTTGATATAGATCAATATAATATATATTAAATTAATATGAACATAATATTACAGAAAATAGTCATTTAAAAGAGAGAGCTGTGAGAGGTTAGCTCATTTCTGCAGAGCACTGTATAAATCAACATATATCATAATTTTTTAATTATTCAAATTTTTAAAAATATTTTTGTCATCAAATTTTCACCACAAAATTATGGTTATGATTAGGGTTGGGGTGGTGCAGTATAGTGCTGTTGCCTCACAGCAAGAAGGTTGCTGGTTCATGTTCTCCCTGTAATCACTTGGGTTTCCTTCGGGTGCTCCGGTTTCCCCCCCGAGTCCGAAGACATGCGGTACAGGAGAATTGGGTAAGCTAAATTGTCCGTAGTGTATGAGTGTGAATGAGTGTGTATGGATGTTTCCCAGAGATGGGTTGCAGCTGGAAGGGCATCCGCTGTGTAAATCATGTGCTGGATAAATTGGTGGTTCATTCCGCTGTGGCGACCCAGGATTAATAAAGGACTAAGCTAAAAAGAAAATGAATGAATAAATAAATGAATAATTTAGGAGTGGCTGATTTGAATGCAATCAAAAAGAAAATAAACACTTAACTGATATCTGCAAGCCTTTCTTAGAGTTTGTCAAAAAACGCACTTTTAATGTGCAATGAAGGTTTAGTTTATGTCTATGGCTTTTGTGACCAGTTCATCAAACTTTGCAAAACTACCACAAAAAACAAACAACAACAACAAAAAAACAAAAACAAAAAAAACAGACCTTCTCATGCCAAATGCCAAACCAATAATTAAAATTGAATATTTGAATTAGAATATTTGTTTGGAACATTTGAGTATTTGGCATCTCAATAGTGCTTATTTTTGTATAAGAGGAAGAAAAGAAAAGCACAAATCCAGGATTTTTAAAGAGATTTTTCTCTGGTCGGCCAGCAGCGTGTGAGAGATGCTCAAGGGCACAGATGTCCTCTCATCAGGACTCATCCGTCAGAGAGCCGAGATGGATGACGGCGAGACAAAGAGCAAGGCGACTGATTCTGCATCAAGGCTGAGTGGGCTTGATCCACTTGTGATCCATTACACCTCTCAGACACTGTAAAAACAAGTGCGCCCCGCGGTCCCTGGATGATGCTCGGGGACTAGAATGAAAATGCTCTTTTAAAGTTATGGCGAGGGCTGTGACAGTCTGCCAGGGTTGATGTACAGCGTCTGCGTGTTGCACTGCCGAGAGAAAATTTCATCATTCTTTCTTTGGACGCTCACCTGTACAGCTCGACACCTGCTTCTTTCTCCAGCTCAGCCCACAGCTCGTAGCTTTCCTGCATCATTTGTGTGTAGAAATCTTCTTCGTAGGCTTTACGGATTATCCTGGTCTGGCCATGAGAACTCCCTCTGGAGTGAGGCAAGACAAACTGCGGACAAAGGGGAATTCAGAGATCCCACTTTACATGCGTTGCTTTTATTTTGATGAAATAAACAAAAACTCTATCAGTCATGGAAGAACAGATTTTTGTCTCATTAAACTGTATCTGACCTGTTTCACTGCATGTTGTAATCTGCATTTAACTGCAAGTCACAAATAAACAAATTTAGATTTTTAGTTAATCTTCAAGATGAGGATTCTGTCTTAATTACATAAAACAATCAGAGATTTTGTTTTATGCAATGATCATCTAAATGCGCTTAAGACCAGACACTTTTTTTTCCATGCACTTGCAAGTTTTGAGATTTTAGGGATTTGAAAACTTTTTACAAAGTATTTTTCCACTCGTAAGATACACTAGAAAGTGTTTCTTTTGTCACGATTGTAACAATTTGTGTTCATATATTTCAAATACAATGCATTTTTAATATTTTCTCCTGTTTTCTCCTCCACCCACTTCAGCCAAAGACTGTGATATGTTCATATACTGTATGTCTGATTATATACATTTTATACCAAAAAATAAATGCTTTTTTGTTGTTAGTTATATAGTAGCTATTTTATTTTTTTGCTGTTCAGAATAAGACTTTGGAGTGATAAAAAGAGAGTCTATAATTTTTTTTTTATTCTAATAAATCAGGGTTGTCCTGGAGGGCCGGTGTTCTGCATAATTTAGCTCCAATTTCTTCAACACACCTGCCTTAAAGTTTCTACTATACCTAGAAAGAGCTTGCTTAGCTGGTACAGGTTTAATTGGGATTGGAACTAAAATATGCAGGACATTGATCCTCCAGGGCTGAGTTTGACCACCCCTGGTCTAAATGAACGAATGAATGAATGAAACAAACAAGAATTTTGAACACGACATTCACAAGACTTTACACATGAACATGACATTAAATAATGCCTCATTATCATAAGACATTTTAGAAGACCTGTAATGCAATGTCAACAGGGGACGTATACTCCATTCCCCTTACACGTGTCTTGCTTTCAATACAGTAAAAAATCTGACGGTAACCGACCTGCTCCAGCAGCAGAGTTTTCTGCTTGTTTTTGGCCAGCTGATAGGCAGTGCAGGACCCTTGGATCCCTGCGCCGATGACGATGCAGTCAAACACTTTAGACGACATTTCCAGCTTTAATACTTTCTCCCGAGATTCTTCTGACACACAAACAAGACGAAGTTGTCGTGACCTACTTTTCAGTTCAAAGTTCTCCGGTTTCACTTATGTAACCGGTCAGCTGAAAAAACGACCAGCCTTCTGAATTTACATACTGCAACAATTTAAGTGAATGGGAGGTTCTGCTACTTCATTCATTCATTTGACACCGCAGAACAAGTGAACATGCTGAATTCACATAGCCTACCAAATACTCCTCTGTTTTCTCAAAATGGCATGGTAAATAGCTAGTTCACTCGCAGAGGTGCTCAAAAAATGAATGAAAATGTTTGCAAAAAGCTTTGAAAATAACAATTTTAATACATACAAACTATAATCATTCTTTGCATTTTTTATTTTATTTTCTGCAAATAATTGTATATAGGTTTGAAATGGCACAATCGTTTGGGTTATTAACACTGCCACTTGGTGGCGTTATGTCAAATAAATGTATACTTTAGCCTACTATACTAGGCTACTAAACTCTATTTTAATAGGGACACTTTACTAATCTTTTTCAGTTTGGAGACATCTTGTGTTTTCATAATTGCTACCCAATACCAAACTTTATAGCTAACTGTAATAACAATATTTCCCCTAAATGCTCATTTTGTAGTCAATATAATGAAACACTAAATCGTTTTTTTGGGAGTGTGCACTTACTGTAAAGTGTTTTAGGTTGACTTTTCCAATTTCATAAAACAAAAAAAATCTTATTCCCAAACTGTTAAATTCCCCCTTTCTCATTGTAAATGTAGGCTATAATTTATAGCGTTTTTGGCTAAATTTTACATCCATAAATGTAAATTTTCAAAGGAACACCCTTTTTATTTTCAGGGCTTTGATTTATATGTGAACGCCCTTAAACTGTCACAATTATTGCATATAAAACTCTTTCTTGGTGTAAATCATTTAAACTTGTTTAATTTTGATGTAATTTTATTTATGTAGCCCTTTTTGTTTCTTTGTTCATATAGTAATATAGTATCTTTGTAAATGTTCTTTCTTGCATAACAAAAAAGACACCTTGAATTGATTGAAGAGACTCAACGGTGGCTCGGTAATATTGTTGGCAAAGCAGCAGAAACAAACGTACATTGCGTCTAAAATATAACTTATTATTAATTTGTTCAACTACAGTATATCTTCTGCACGTGCTATTCAAGATAAAAACACCACCTTCGTGATATATGGGACAACGTCAACGCACACTCGATGATCATTTTTGATTCTGCAAAATTGGTGAGGCGACTTGTGATCGGTCTTTTTGAATCAGTTCAACCGATTCATTAAAAAGAACAAGAAAAGTCAAGAACGAAGCACAGCTTGAAAAATAATGTCGTCGTCAGTTAAGTTTCTCTCGTGGACATCCGGAAAACCTAAGCTAAGCTTATTGTCGAGTTTGCCTGAAAGGTAAGCTACATATGACGTAATATACACTGATTTGATGGTTTACGTGGCCATTCTACATTTTTAAATGTTTGTTGTGACAAACTGATCTCATTATTAATTTAATTATCTAGAGTTTACTTAGCAACGTAAGTGTTTTAGGCCTGTTGGTGTAACATTATATTCAAAGTATAAATAATGTTAGCTTCAACAGAGTCAGGTTAAAGAAGGAAATTTGATTAAAAAGGTCAGGTGATATGTACAAACACTTAACTCGTCACTCTTGCAGTTCAGTTAGATTGTTTTGCATGATGGTGAATATTAATGGACATGAGCAGAAAAATATGAGATCAGGCCGGCAAAAAGAAAGAGTGCTGTGTCTGGCAGGGTTGTGGCTGTGCTTCAAAGTGTGTAACATGGTACTGTGGAGTCATTCGTAGTCCGAGCAGATGGATCCTGCTGATGGTCAGGTCTGGAGAGGGTCAGATGGTCCTGCACCCCGCTGCTGAGTCCTGTCATGGACAGATGTAGTCTGATCTTCCCCACAGACATGCTGGAAAAGTGCTTTTTGTGTTTCGTATGCAAATAGGTTCACTCAAGGTATAGCACATTGATAGGGATTATTTGTGGGATTCTAGAAATGGGCTAGTTCATATGGCAGGTTCTGGAGGAGCAAATGATTCTTACAATGATTGAGGGAATTGTTCATTTAAAACTTAAAACTTAAATAAGTCATTCAATAAGTACAATAAGTGACATTTTCATTCGGCTTAGTTCCTTTATTCATCAGGGGTCACCACAGCAGAATGAACTGCCAACTTATCCAGCATATGTTTTACATAGTGGATGCAACCCAGTACTGGGAAATATCCATACACACTCATTCACACACACACACACTCATACACTACATTAGATTATTCAATTCACCTATAGCGCATTTCTTTGGACTGTGGGGGAAACTGGAGCACCCGGAGGAAACCCACATGAACATAAGGAGAACATGTAAACTTCACACAGAAATGCCAAATGACACAGCTGGGGCACGAACCAGCAACCTTCTTGCTCTGAGGCGATCGTGCTAACCATTGAGCCACCGTGTCACCTATGTGGCAATTTCTAACATCATATACAATTTGATTTCACTAAATGCAAACTTTTCTGTTCAGTGGGTAGCACAACCACCTTACAGCAAGAAGGTCACTGGTTTGAGCCCCGGGTGCGTCAGTTGGCATTTCTGTGTGGAGTTTGCACGTTTGCGTGGGTTTCCTCCTGGTGCTCCGGTTTCCCCCACAGTCCAAAGACATGTAGTATAGGTGAATTTGGGTTAGCTAAAATTGTCAATAATGTATGCGTGTGAATGGAAGTGTTTGGGTGTTTCACAGTAATGGGTTCCAGCTGGAAGGGCATTCGCTGAGTAAAACATATGCTGGATAGGTTGGTGGTTCATTTCGCTGTGGTGACCTAAGATTAATAAAAGGGCTAAGTCGAAAAGAAAATGATTGAATGAATGAAAATCAAAACTCATGGGACATGTTTGAGCTGAAACGGAGGGCACGTTTGTTGTAATGTTTAGGTTTTTGCACAGACGGATAGTAATAGTAATAAAAATTAGTAATAGTGATGGGGTATTGAATTTAGCAACAACCATCACTTCAAGCTACCAGTTTAAAACGACTGCAGTGTTAAACATTCCAATAAATCCATATATTTTTTTAATGTTTTTATTTGTTTCTTTTTAGCTCTTATATCAAAATAAATCTTTTTGTTTTTACAAAACATTCATGTGCACGTTAAAATATTTGTATATGAAAGAACAAGAGTCAGATCCTAAATGATGAGTAGAATATAGATTGAGCTCATATACACTGCCAGAGTTCTATGTAGGATTGACATTTCATTGATTCACGTGCTGTTGAAGGTTTGACGTTTATGTTAGCAACATGTTCATGTGCATATGTAACCCAGGTCAGTCCTACACCACCCAACCCGCTTCAAGCTGGGATCAAACTGGTGACCTTCCGTGTGGAAGTGGGTTGCTTTAACTAGGGGGTTAAAGACCATGGCCTCTAGCGGCTGTCACTAGTGCACCTTTTAGAGGTCAGAGGAGTGAGGTTTACCTGCACAGCACTTCACTATCTGGTACACTCTGCTACACTCACCCCCCTATCTCCCATTCAGGTCATGGCACCAATGTAACCCCGCAGGTCCTACACCACCCAACCTGCTCCGAGCTAGAACCGAAATGGTCGGTTGGTCTAACAAGGAGGCCTCTGTTACACAGACAATTCCTATGTTACTTGTAATTTCAGCATCTTATTTCAGAATTGCACCCCCTACCACATAACAGGGAAACATGGATTGGAAGAAAATCCCGTGGAAAATTGTTCATTTGTAGAAATCAAAAAATCATAGCCTGAACGTATTTCCAATATGCGGCACATTGTGTCCACATACCAGGTAAAATGAACCTTAGATTCTGAAAGAGACTGATTCAAAAGCCAGTGTTTTTCCATGGCAATACACCAACACCTGATTAATGCATATAATCTGATCTGGTTTGTTTCCAAATATTAGAGATATTTATTCAGCCTTCCTAATTAGGATTGGCCGACTCGTGGCAGCAGGACGTGCATCTGACAGTGAGCTATTGTGTTGTGACGGCGTTTCGACTTGATCAAGACACCCCCTCAGTCTCATTCATCTTCAGCTGATTCTGTTCACTCTCCAGCTTCTGAAGGATGGCTCCAACATCCCAATTAACCCCTCTCTTCCCCCTCAGCTTGTTAGGCTGGATTTGTGCTCCATCAGACCGGTGCTCTCGCCGAGATGTATCAGCCTTCCGAGACATATCTGGAAGCTTATTGATTTTGGCATATCATTTTATGAGTGGGAGTTGGGCGGCTGTAAATGGTGAACAGGCTGTTTCATTGTTTGAGCTGCTAAGCTGCTGTATAATTACATCGGTGACCGTAAAGCCCGCTGACTGAGCCCACAGCTGGGCGAAAACTCAGCTAGTGAAATAAGATGGTGCTCTTTATGAGCCAAGGCCTTGCTGGGACCTCAGCCTTGCCATCTGTAAGCAGTGAAAGTTTATTTCCTGAAGGGTCTTTGGTGGTATGGGCACGTACAGTTTCCTCGTGACATGATGTATGACAGACCTCTTAAGCATTTTAAGGGTTTACTGCCTGGCTGTACAGCCGTGTTTAAACTGCAGTGTCAGGACAATTTCATGAACATCACCATGTCTCAACATCAATAACTATTTGAGTGGAGAAAACGATGCTGCAAAGATTTTACTGCCTGTGGGATAAAAGTGCTGTCACACCACTTCTTGCGATGCGGACTCATCAGGGAATTGCTATATTTTCTTACCTCCATGGGAAGGTAAAAGCAAATTCCGTGCAGGGACAGGAAAACATTTGTTGACCAAAATGAAACAGTACTGTAAGGATGTTATTCAGAAACAGCCAGTATTTTTAGGCACTTTTTCCTGTTTACCTTTTTGATGGCCTTGGTTCTAAATGTTTTCCTTGTTGAGAATTCTTTGTTATAAGCCATAAAATGAGTCACAACAGATAGCACACAAATTCTGAATACAGTTCTCTAAATGTGCAAAATGACATCAAACAGGCCCATAGCCAGCCTGATGAAAGGGGTGGTTATT